TTGGGACTTATGGACATCTATTATTCTATGAAAGTTTACTTTTCATATCTGAGCTTTGATTTTACATTTTATTTCCGAAGACTCGTTAATTTATGTTTAACAACTTCAAATAATATCCTCTAGTATAATTCTTTTATAAAATGGTGTACTAACGTTTAGAAAAATTTTCAATTTAATCTCTGATTTTTTATTTGACTTGATTTTTTTAATTTTAAGAAAATTTCAGTACAGAGAACAGAATATATCGTAGATATAAGTAAAAGAAAATTTCGAAAGATATGTCAATAAATTAAAGTAGTAAATATTTTCAAGTATTTTCAAAAAGGGATAATTTCATATTTGTAAGAATCCAAATATAATAAAAAATGTAAATATTCTTTTATATTATATAGTAAATATTTCACTTGTGAAATGTGCTATAAAAGACCGTTTTTTATGGTATTTGCAGTCAAACTGAAGAAACTTGTAAAATGTTTCACAATCAAAGTGGTCATGCACTATAACATAAAAAATATTAAGAATTGCCACAGAATGGTACATAAAATATCTACTAGTATAATTTTATTATTAAACTATTTTCGTTTCAAAATTATATGTAATAAAATTTTATATAAACCCTAAAATGTAATAAATGTATATAAATAAATTTATAAATTAAAAACTTTTATTATGGTGACTAATTCATTAAATTTAAAGCTGAAGAAAGTTATTTTTATCTCTAGAAATTCTACTGTTTTGCCCACTGTATGTACTCGTATATACGAGTGTAAAAGCAGAATATAATAGTTGTTTTGAGTTTTCTCAATTTAGACCAGTTTGAAGCGACATAATTACAAATAAATGACTTGTAGTAAAATAGCAAATGCTTTCAAAAGTTTCACGAGTTTAATGAAGTAGATTAAATTTCGTTGATGCATGTAAAAGTTAAAGTCACTTCATAAATAGAATAAGTTAAAATACAAAGTTATGCAAAGGTATGCAAAGTCACATATAATTTTAAAATATATTTTAAAAAAATCTATTGAATATTGTGTTAAGGTTGGCATAATTGAGTAAAGTAAGGGGGCGTCCATTAATCACATGAAGTTTTTTGGGAGATGGGGGTATGAAAAAAAATCATAAAATATCAGGCAGGGGTATAGTAAAATATCACATGTATCTATTTTTTCCTAATACTTTTTTTAAATCCAAACATTTTCAACATAAAATGAAAATTCTAAATAAATTCTCGTAATTAAAAATACACATAATGTTTGGTGAGAAACGGGGGTTCATTTTCAATATCACCACGTATCACCAAAAGCAGGATCCAAAAATCCTTAAAAAATTGATCACGTAATTAATGGACGACCTATAACCTATAGTTATCATATTGTTTAACCCTGAAGACCCCAATGCCACCTTATTTAGAGTCAAATTTGAAACCCTTAGACTCCATAGTCCGGGTTGTCTCCACTGGAGAGAATAGTTTGAAGGGTCTACTAGAGGTATGAAACCTAGTTATCGTTAAAATTCACAAAGTATGATTTTTACAAAAAATATCAGTATTTTTACTAGGTCGATCGTTTCCGAACATTTTTCAGATTTATATTTAAAAAATTATCTTTAAAAATGAATACTGTCGCGTTGTATATAGTTCAAATTTTATTTTCGTTTTTTTTTTTTATAATAGAGCCAATAGTCTGTCAGAGCATTTAGATACTGCTAGGGTCTGCCAAGACCCCATGACAAAGAACTCTGATATACTTTAATAATATTTAGTAAATAGATTCGAAATATTGGTAAAATATGGATTGCATATTGTATCTATTATATACTCTATTTCTCTCTATTTCTTTCTACCAGTAGCTTTCAGACTAGCCTCAAAATACCTTCATTTACTACTTTGCCATTCTAATAAATAATTTTATAAATTCTGACATTGTACAGAATGAAATAAAGATATTCTGAAGTAACAGAAACATAATCGTTGCATTGAAAAGCTCGTTCCCACACCGAAGTTAACGGATTACGTTGGATAAGTTACCAAATATTGAAATAACAATCGTTTTACTTCATCATTTGACATCCAAGTTACTCATCGTAAAAATAATTATAATAGTTTTATTATATAAGTTGATTTATTACTGCTTAATATTATTGTTTAAAAAAAATAGACAAAGTGGATAGACAATCTTCTTATATATAAAAATGAAGCTCGGTATTATGTTAGGTATTCTGAAACTCTAAAATGGCTGTACGGATTTGGCTAGTCTTAGTCTTGAAATATTTGTGCTAATCCAGAGATTGTGCAAAAGGCGAGAAATTAATTTCAAATGTTGCTTCAAAACGCGTAGAGATTTTTCATTTTCAATTTGAAAACCTTTGCCTAATTGTTATATATAAATAAAACTCCATAAGAATTTCATGTAAAAATTAATACAATATGCAGGTACTGTCGTGATTAAAAAATCGATATCAGCCTATCATATTCTACATTAATACTTCAATTATGCATACATTCAGGTTAAGACAAAATCGATGAATTGGGGACAACAAAATGAATGGGTATTATATTATTAATAATGATATTCAAATACTAAGCAATAACATTAAATGTACTCGTTGTCTTTTCAATTTCTAATTAAATTAATTAATTCATATCATAAACAATTATATTCATACGATAATTATGATAAATATTGCGATTGCACAATTTAATTTATCAAAATCAAAAAGTATGACTACTGAACAACCTTTCAGAAGTTTATTTCAATAATAATCATTTTAGCATACCCTCAAAATTACAGATTTATTTTTCTATAACAGATTGTGATTCAATAAAATATAGGCATTTTTTAGAAGGTATAAACTAATTATGTATTGGTGGATTATTATTTATGGTAGATTAAATAATATTTAATAATCATTATTCATATCTTTCAGATTATTCTTATTATTATAACTTGAGTAAGAACTGTCTATTCTTCTAGAGGCCGCACTAATTATCAATTAAATGGTAAATGAAATAATAATTATCCGTAAAGATATTTCCAAAACATGTTGAAATCTACTTCAAAGTAATTTGAAGATGTATTGATCAAAGACGTTTGAAATTGTTACATACATAGGTTTTTTTAAATATCAATAATAATATTACTTTACTAATACATATTTGATTAGTTAATTATATTTTAGTTACATAATAAATAGACTTTAAATAAAATTGTCTGAAACAGAGGTAATTAATTAATATTTATTTTGTAGTAACGTTTGTTATTTTAAATTATGCCCCAGTCTGCAAAATTATTTTCAAATACTCCTAGTAAAGAAAATTGATATAAAGTCCGCATATAATTTATTTAATCATTGCGGTTATCTCTAATAAAAAACACAATAATATTCTCTAAAATCATACACGTGGTATTATATACTGTATATGTACATAATATCTATTTTATATAAATGAAGTGTGAAAATAATAGGTCATATAAAAGTCATTTAACAATTGAACTTTAAATTAATTAGAGTTTTTCATCATAATTCATTGAGAGAAAACGTAATAATTATATCTACTTCGTACTGGGCTATAAATTCTATAAATTATGCATATAGACATGTAATTAAAATAGAGAGGAGATTACTTTAAAGAGTGTGACTAATGTTGAGAGCTCAATTTAAATAAATCATTGAATTTGAGTGCAACTGATATTATCAATGCATATTAGTAATTGACTAATAAGAAAAAAATATTATATCAAATCTGAGTCATCTCAACGAACAATTCTATTGCGCGAATTATAAATCTAAATTACTAATCTGCTTCGAATACAAATGCGCGTAGAACAAAGAAAATTCTTTATGCTATTTAGAATAATTTAATGTAAAAATATATTTAATGCAGATATTATTCAAGTTCCATATTATTTTAGGTCGGGAATCTTTTCCAGAATTTAAATATTCATTTCTATGCAAATATTGGTTTGTAATGTCAAAACAAACATTTTTATAAGATAAAGTCATTATTATGTAAATAACCTCGGTTGTTTCAATATGTTGAAGTCGCGCAATCTCTCTTGTATTCAGAAAAAGTTGGTTTGAAATTCTCTTAAAATTTGGCTCTAATGTTACTGTATTTATTCCATTTAACACAAGTTAATTCCGCGGTTCTCAACCTGTGGGGCACCTTCCCCCTCAGAGGGGTCATCTGGCTGTAACAGGGAGGGCTCTTTCCAAAATACTATTTTCAAAAAAAAAAATGAAATAATATAAAAAAATAAACGAAAAAATAACCTTTCATGTATATTTTTACCTAATATTGCATATTAATTTGTGATCTGATAATATCAGTTAAGTTTTTATGGAATAATATTGTTGAAAAAATTAAGGGGTGGTGCAACCATGTTTTCATTAGAGCGAGGAGAAGGACGCAGTGTGAAAAACGTTGGAAACCACTGGGTTAATTGGAATCAGTGAATGCTATAGAATTCATTTTCATTGTGATGCAGAAAAATGCTATAGAATTCAAATTTTCGAATTTAATTTTATATTGCTTTACTTTACTTACTTTTTACCTTACCTTTTTGTAATTATTATACCTGTCAGGTGATGACAAGCCAATGTTTAGGTATTTTCGTATTATCTTATCTTTTCCCGTAGTTACTAATTAGCTTGGAAAGCACATTGCGTATAATAGAAGCATAATACTTGATGTGTTTGCTATAGCATTTATCGTATATAACGATTATATGGAAATCTGACTACCCTTATACTCTGTCTATACTATACACCCTATGGTAATCTTACTACCCTATGGTGTTTTATCAAATTTCGGATATCAAAAGCAATTTAAAAATAAAATTACTGTCAATTATTGTACCTTACTGAAATTTTTACTGTCCGCGAACGTGTATAAAATGATTTTGTGAATATGAATAATCTTGAGCAAAACTGCACGAACAAAATATTCGAAACCAATATGAGTTATATCTCACGATCGATCGAGAAATCAACTATCTCACCTGTGCAGAAGTTTCTTTGAAAGCGTTTAATTCGGCTTTCCGCACGAATACTGAATTGGATGTGGCAACACCCCATTCGTTTTCTGCAAAACATTGGTACTGTCCAAGATCTTCGTCTCTAGGCGACGTGATGACCAACGTGCCCCGTCCAGGCTGCTGGGACATGCGGTCATCGTATGCTTGCCAATCGAACTTCTTGCCGTTCTTTATCCATCGATATCTGTAAAGATAATAGTCAATTTAAAACAATAATAACAGAGAATACTAAAAAATAGTAGATAGTAGTAGGCTATGAATTAATCGAAAGTTTTCAGTTTTTGAAAATAAATTTTTAATAAAATTAAAATATTAACAAAGAAAAATTTATATCCGAATAATATAGTAACTATTATTTAACAAGTTGTTCAAACATTAAAATTATTAATTTTTATAATAAGAGTAGAAATGATTAGTTGATAAATATCGGATAATATTGTCAATATTATTAACTTCCTGGCGGAGAAGTTTGTTTTCATAAAAAATCGATTCGCTAATTTTATATTTTCTCGACATTTCAAGCAATTCTGAATCGAATGAGAACAAATTTGGAAAAAGTATGTGTGTGTGTATGTGAACAGATTTATTATCGTAAATAGATGTTTTCTCAAAAACGGCTGGACCAATTTCAAGAATTTAGTGCTGATTAGTTTTGGACAAAGATTAGGCGAGCCGTTTCTTTTCAATTAACTGTTGAAAAAAATTTGATAATTTTTTTTATGTTGATAGATATTACGGTCCTGAAGAACATACTAAAATATTACGTTTCTACGGCAAGTATTTTAATTTTAAAAATTCATCAAAGTTTGAAAAAATATTATAGTCGAAATTTGTGTCAAAAGTTGCTTTTGTGATATGATGAGTCAAACATTATCAATTCATTAAAATTTAAAACATTAAGCTACAAATTTAGGGCATACAAGCACGTGTCTGTGCTCAAATATCAATATAATTAATATAATTACAGATAATTCAAATGTGTTTGAAAAAATTCTATTGGAAATCGCAAAGTTTGGATTTAATTGATAGCGATAACTTAATTTTTGAAATAAATAGTTTAAAATAGTTATCTAAATATCTAAATCTCAATCTCGGTTGATTAAGTTCATTATTACACATTTAAGGCTAAACGCCACTTTCAACTAGTTTTTTTTATAGAAATTACGATTACAGAAACAATATAACAATGCTTTGATAAAATAATAATTATTGGACAAAGTGAGAATAAGAGTATTACCAGATGGAATTCATACATAAAAACCTCTTGCAAAACATTAAGACAATCTCTGATTCTATATTTCTATAACAAACATATCATATATAGCAAACAAAAATCAATTGAAGTAATTTTCACATTTAGCGATATATAATATAGATATATCGTAATGATTACCCGACTGCTCCAAGTTTTCAAGAATTAAAACTTTGTTGAACTATGGATTTATTTTCAATTAAATCGGTCGACTTTGAGAGGCTCTTCTTTAAAAAATGTGCTAGAGTGTGTTGGCAAGTTTGATTAAAATTTGGCAAAATGGTAAAATACTTAGCAGTTTCATAATAAAAAATTTCGAGTGAAAAAAAAAATCCTAATAGCATAAGTTTTGCTTGCATTTGCATTTCAGTCTTAATTCTTGTAAACTTTGTGCAATCGTGTAATTAAATTTGACTATAGTCCTAGAAATTTTATTAACGGTTACGGTTCAAAAGTTTTACTGAACCTATAATCTCATAATTTCCAAAGAACGTGAGATAATTTTTTTCTCAGGAAAGTTACAATCAATACATCACCCCTTGACGTTGAGTTCTGGGACACCCCGTACATATTTTTTTTTGTTCTATATACTTGTGTAGTTAATATAATATTACAAGCATTACAGCATTTATTAAAATGCAAAATATACAATAATATCATACATTTCACAGAAATTTAGCTTTATTGCAATAATACTTAGTCTGCACTCGACATAACGAAACCATCATAAATGTATTGATTGTTGTTTAAACTCAAAACTAATGGCATGTAATGACTTCGACCTCATTTAAATGCGGTTTTTGCAGCGCAGTTTTCTGGCATTTGATGAAACAAGAACGTAAAATTATTCTAAGAAATTATTGCGAATATTACAGTCAATGGTTTTGTTAGTTAGGTAAGATTTTTTAAAATATTTTTGAACAAAAATCAGAACTCACATTCACTTAATACCAGTCAGTTTTACAGATGGCAACCCAATATGTCCTATCTCTTTATAACATATTATAATTACAATTTCTGTAATAGGGCTAATATTTATTGATGCAGCAATGCCGGACCAGGAATATTTTCACTTGGAAACATATTGCTATCTATATTTCGAAGTGAAAACTGTCGTCACTACTGCTTGACACCAGACTGCTCGATCAAGTAGGGGGATCGAACCAATGGAAGTTCATTCAAACAATTAAAATGACAAAAAATATTTTCAAATAATACATATTTTAATAATTTATTATTATAGTCACTAATTCTGATTTGTTTTAGATTATACATTAGAAAATAACTGCAAATATGTTTTAAAAGATATTGGCAATATTACATTTATGTTATAGCTAAGTAATTCAACAGTAAGAATTTGTCAGTATAAACAACAATACAATAGAATTTTCTTTAAGAAGCAATGTTTTCAATGTAATTTAATGCTTATCGCCATGTTGCATTGATATTTATTCGTGAAACATGTTTCTGCAATAAAATTCATGTATGTAATATATTAAAAATAAATTCGGAAAATGCATGCATTTCGCCCATGTGCAGAAATATTTATACTAAGTCAGAGAACATATGTTTCATTTCTAAGAGATTTATTTTTGTTGATGAAAAATGTACATTTAGATCAGTTTATGTCAAAACAGTTCATACTGATTAATTAATATAGCAAGCCAAGATAACAATCTTCGATATGTTCGAATTAATAGATGTATTCTCTGACACAATCACAATACAAATCAAACCCATTAATTATTTAAAACCATGACAAGATCTTGAAGTATTTAAATTCATATAATATTTATGTTCATAAAATGATTAGAATCAAACGTAATTATTCAATTGGTTCCATACCCGCCCCGGGTAGCCTGATGTCAAGCAGTAATGACATCAGTTTTCATTCGGAATTATAGATAAGAATATGTTTCGAAGTAAAAATAATCCTTGCCCGGCATTATTGCACCAATAACAAATCATCTTTATTAAAGTAATTATGATAATAAAATTCATCACATAGAGAGAGGACAACGTTTTGTATTGCCATCTGTAAAACCGACGAAGTTAGTCAAATCATCACAACTGTTTATAAGACCCTTAAGTTCTGATCGCAGTTCAAATAATATATAAACAAAATTATTCAATCATCGTTAACGTTAATATTCAATTCATTCCACGAAATCGTCTAGAGATTTCAATTAGGTCCAATCCATCGGCAAAGCTGTTCGATGTGATTGAAAAAGTAATTTAGAACGGCTTAGCAATGACGAGACATATAGTAGTTGTTGTCAGGTCAATTATGTTCATATTAAATAACTCAATGCATCTTGGAAGAAACGGTCGTTGACTCTTGGCGACATAACATAGTGTTGAAATCACTAGAAACATTTTTCTATTCACAGAATTATGATAAGCAATAGCTTGCCAGAACAATTTCGTAAGTGACCGAATCAACACTGCGCTTTTTATTTAATTGCACATTTACCTCATCGGATCAAATAAAGTTGTTGAGATACATACAATAATTCAATATATTAGTAAAATTAAAAATTACTGTTGCGAGTTAATTCTAAGTAAATGTTATGCTTTTACGTTATTTGGAAGAAATCTTCAAAAATATTCAAAATAAGCATTACCAAACAAATTTAGAAACTGCGAACTGCAAAAAACTGTCTTTGCCAATACTCGTATTGCAAATAACAAGTAAAAAATATTATAGATAATTGTTTATTATCGCTGATTTTTTAGATAATCTAGACATTCTTTAATCTAATTATTAATAAAAGCTTGCCAAAAAAAGTAAACAGTATTGTTAAGAAAAAATATTTGGATAATATTAATTACATTATTTTCCCGATGAAGACTGAAATAACTTTAAAATTAAAAGATTTAATTTAATTTAGTTAATATTATTAACTTAAAAAAAATTTTTTTTTGCATTTCTTCACGTTTTAAAGGATTCTGAACATTTTGACATACCTAAGAAAAAATTGATATGTGTATGTATGTGTGTATGTATGTATGTATGGATACAATTTTTAGTCCACGTTTTCGGGCGTACGGACCAACCGATTTGAATGGTTCAAAGAACATTCGATTGCTATTGATAGGAAGATGTGCTGATTAGTCTTTGGCAAAGGCAGGTCTAGCCGTTTCGTAGATATAGAGCTAAATGTGCAAAAAATGGCAGGATTTAAGAGAACTAAGCATAATTTTTGAATGATTCAAAAAAACTTCCTGATTGTGTTGACGAAATGGTTGCTTTTCAGAAAAGATTTTTTTCTTTTTCTTTAATTCCAAAAAAATATTTTTTTTTTACTAATTTTTTTTCTTCCAGCATTTGGTATTGGTACATTATGGTATGGGAAGTTCCAGCAATTTGCCTTAAGGCACGAAGCCATACATCACCAGTTTATATTTGTTATTATATTATTATACTGTTTTCCCAACATGTCATTATGATAGGCAATTTGCCTATTACGGCTGACAAAAGTCCACAAAATTGCTAAATGTCCTTAAGGGACACAACAGTGCGAAATTTCAAAGAAATCGATTTTTGTTTTTTTACATATTTCGGTAGATTACACCTTTAAAAATAACATTTAAAAATTTCAAATCGATATCTCAATTAGTTTTTGAGTTACAGCCATTTAAAAAGTATATATAGTATATAGTAGAACGATCATTTAATCTTTAATCACTATCAAATTTTTTTTACATGTTCTTTATATAGTTCTCCATAAAATGAACTATCGATTTTTTGATCGGATCAAAAATCGAATTTTGGCAGTCGAAAAACGACCAAAATTTTGGGTAAAATTCGACTTTTTTTTTAAAACACCGCCTTTTTGTCAATTTTTGATTTATTTTTTTTATCGTAGTTCATTTTACAGACAATATTATCTAGTTTAACGAGAATTATTTTGTTTTTCATTTCATCCACG